GGAATTTTGGGGAAATTTGATCCCTGCCAGTGTTTTCACACTTCAGGCTTTAGAAACTTTGGGGAAATTTGAGCCTGGCAGCATTTTGGCAACCTCGGATGCAAAAACATCGGCAGGGATCAAATTTCCCCAAAATTCGTGAAGCCTGAAATGTAAAACGCAATAGAGGAACACAGTACCATGTACTATTCGAACGTGTTTGTGTTTGTGGATGCTTCAACACGTTTTATGCAGACGCAAACATCTGTTGAACCCTACATTGCATCATGGCTGGAATCTGTCGAATTCTTGTCTCTTCATTGAGGTAAGAGCTTGCCTTGCTAACAATTTAGAACCTTGCCTTGCTAACAGTTTAGAACCTTGCCCGCTGCAGAGAACACTATTTCTTGTGTTTCACTTTCAAAAACTAATGAGCTGATAAGCTCCTTTATTTTATATTGCAGGCTACATGACTGATACTACTGTCATGAATAATGAAGTAAGGTACCCAGTAATACCCTTTTGCCTCATTAGTTTTAGGGTTCCATTATTACTAGCTGAATACGGTTAAAAAGGGTACACTTTACTATTCAGGAGACACTGTAGCAAATGAGCCTCAATTGCTTCAAGTACTGGCGGTACCAACTCTTCTTTCATCGAGCAACATCACAACTGTAGCTAAGATCAGCCTTGGCAAGATGCACCTCAAGTGTTTTCTCGCTTTCCTTAAAGCAAAATGATAATGATCAATACATGTATGTCCACCATTACTCTGCGACAACAAGGAAAGGTCTGGCTGGAGCTGAGCTGTTTCATCTTGTATTGAAGGATGGCAGGATCTTTATCACGTGTGCCAGCAATACGGTGCAATAGAGCTCGATTAGGTTCTGCGCCGGGATCGTTTTTCTTCTTTTATGCAAACAAGCAAATGTGTGTGGCATATGAAGTTTTAGTAAGAGAGGAACAACGACTGCTTTCCAATTTGTAATTAGGTGGAGGGAAACCACTTCTTTCCGTAAACACTCATATTTGAGTTTGTACTATTGGCAGAGTACAAGAGCTCGTTGAGTTCCAGCCACTGAAAAGGGGCTAAGGTGGCTTATTGTGTTTCTTTGCGACGAAACAGGGTTTCTGACGAAAGCACAACACCAACTGAAAAACAACAACTGATTTTCTCTTGTCTATCTTACTTTTGAAGACATGAAGTTGTCCTAGCTTCCGCTGAAGCATGAACATACATGGAGATTACTTTCCATGTATTGTGAGGAGCCAAAGGTGTACTTATTCTGTACTTTGTTATGGATAGATAGGCAACACCTCTGTTAGTCCAGTGTCGTTGCTAGTCAGCCGACATACCATTGTTGTGTTTGTTCTCTCTGAAGGAGTTGTCCTTATCACTTCTAGATAGTATGAGGGGAAGAGTTGCTCTGTCTATTCAGAGCGTACATCTTACGTAGTTCGACAAACTTTAAATCATTATCCAATGCATTTAAAACATGATGCAGCCACCGTTTTGACGCAACATAAACAGATACACGTGTCTTTCATGTTTCTTACCGGGATAAGAAAACAAAGTTCTTTACAATCACTGACAGAACTGGGGAACACTTTCGTTTGTCGCCACTGGTAAAGATGAAAAAGATCTCTTATGCTTCTTTGTGATGAACGAAGCTTTCCCTCTGCAAGATGAGCTTTCTCCTTTCTTATTGAGAGAGCACACTAATTGTCCAGAAACAAAGGAGTGTCTTCTAGTTTTTTGCAATAGTGACAAACGAGTCAAACTAGCGGTAGGCACGCAACGCGGAGGGCCAAACAGAATCCGTTTTGGGGTTCAGGTGGTTGTCACACCACACAAATAAGTAAAATAAGTAGCGGTAAGTAGCAGTGAAGTGGAGAAACCACCGCAAATACCGATGGATTCTTTGCTTGAGAAACAACAGACAGAGACTTAAGATGGTGGGAGAACAGTCGGCGAGAAGGCTGGTATGGATCATGGGGGGGGGGGGGGGCGTGACCATATATATATATATATATATACACACACATACATACATACTGCAAACATACATATTGCATACATACATACATACCTACATACATTATGACCTACATACATGCATACATATACACATACACGTACACGTACACATACACGTACACACATGCATACGCATACTACATACACATACACGTGCGTACGAACGCACGGACCTGCTCACCTACCTACCTACCTACCTACTTACCTACCGAATGAAGCACAAGTGCAATGCGTGTGCCTGCTTATACATATACACCATGCTTTCTGCAGGTTGTCACGAAACGCTGCTATGCCGCTACGCATGCCGTGTAATGCGCACCCGCAGACGAATTTGGTGCACCTTCTTTTGATTCTCAAAGACAGAGTCGCAGAAGGCACGCGGAAACTAACCATTCTCTGGCACTTCATGATCCTTATAGCGCCCATGATCCTCGAAGTCTGTTGCCGTAATGGGTGCCAGCTTGGAAGCCAACAGAAACCCCCACACCCGAACGGTGACAGAAGTGCGCCGTCCACTCCAGGGCCGTGGCTGCGCGGTTCTCGGCGGAGGCCCTGTGCCGAAACTATTTGGGGCAAAGTCAGGCCTTGTCTCACACTCGCAAAAAGGCTTCACAACTCACTGGGTCGTTCGAGCCTTGGACCTTGAAGCGCAGCCCCTGCAATCCTTGCAACCGAGAAGCTCGGAGTCCTGACATCGGAACCCCCGCCATCCCTCCATCCAACCACGCCTGCTGGCTCGCTCCAGCGCAGCTGCTTTCCGAGTTTTCTCCTCCTCAAATGCCTGAAACGAAGGCGAGGGCAAACAAAGACAGATTATCTTTGCACAGGCATGACTGTCACACAATGAAGGCTTCAAGCGGCGCGCGCAGAAGTCTGAAAACTGAATTTCCTCGTCCATGGTCGCATGCTCTGCGCGCCTGCTCGGCACGATCCATCCCTGCATCTGTTTGGGGCGCGTCCTTCACAGGGCAAAGCAAAGTTGTTGGTAGTCCGCTGGGCTTCCGTGTCTCGGAATGCAATTCCCAGAGACGAAGAGATCTGGAGTCCACTCCCAGATGCTCTTCAAAACTCGTGATGCAGATATCGCACGCTAGACGGGGTGTGCCAGTCCCAATCTCAACGGGTCCCATTGCAGCAGCAGCGCGGGGTCATGAGGCACGGGCAAGCCAAGCTAGAAGCCATATCATAAAGCAAAGACCTGGACAGCTCGAGACCTGAAAGGCCTTCCCGACTCCTTCAAACTGAGCAGCTGCTTGTGTTTTAGTTGGAGTTTACAACAGACTTTGCTTGTAGGGCTCGAGGCCAGCAATCTCCGACTGCAGCGAAGCTATAGATGCATAACGAGGAAACTATACAAGGAAGAACGCGAGTTCAATGCGTTGACAAGACCTGCTGGCTTTTTGCTTTCCTGGATTCAGTTTGTCACATGGTTGTGCTGCACAGGATTGACGTATTTGATTTGTCTCGAGCCTTCAATACATGACTATGCAGCAAAAACTGCAGAACGAAGCACGAAGCCGCTTGATGAAATCCAAAGAACATAACATCTGTTTTTGCATCGCTCCCCACCTGCTCGCCTTTCCCTCCCCCCATTCGTCCCTCCTCCTGTTCCTCGTGTGGATGGCTGCCTTGTTTGAAGCTTCCTTCCCCTCCTCGTGTGAAGTGAGAGCGGCGAGCAGTTGTGTCTGCATTCTGTGTCCCTCCTGCGCTCCGGTCTCCGCCGAGGGTGGAGCTTCTGGCCCTGGGCCTGGGCCTCCTCCGTGCCGCCTCCCCGCCGGAGCAGCTGCCACGCAGTCGGAGCGTCTTTGCCCTCCCCGCAAGTGCTCTCCGCTCCTCTCTCTCCCTCGCTCTCCGCTCCTGTGCCCGCTTCGCTCGCTCGTCCTCCTCCTGCGGAGCTGACAGCTTCCGAGATCTCAGAGCGCACCCAGAAGGACAAGGGCCTTGTCGAAGTCGTCCGCAGACAAGGCGAAGACTCTTCCCAAGTTCTTCCTCCGCTCGCTCTCCTGCTTGCGCTTCTTCTGCAAGAGACGGGTCAGGAGTGGCGGCCCGGGCCACAGCGCAGTCCTCCTTCAAGCGAGCCTGCGAGGGCTGCGGAGGCTGCGAGGGCTCGGGCCTAGGGCCTAGGGCCTAGAGCTCTTCGAGTCTGCACATACACCTGTAGTATTCATGGACCGCATAGCAGATGGGCAATGAGCGGCTCAAGATCCACAGAGCATGGAATGTACATCTCAGCCGTCAGACGTCGTTCTACAACGTCTCCGTCTCCGGGGGCTTTATGGCTTAGGGGCTTATATGGCTTGAGAAGCAAACCTGTGTCAACATCGTATGCCGGACCTCGTGCTCAGAGTTCACGTCCAGCCCCGTTGGGAGGGCTCCTTCATGGGCGTCCTCCTCGGCGAACACAGCCTGCCCCTTCGAAACAAAGATTGGGCTCGCAACCTCCTCTCCGTCTCCGTCGGGACTGTCATGCTCAGGTCGCACCTGAAGACTGCAGCTCCAGGCAATGTGAAAGCTCAGGGATTGCATCGGATTCCAGCTCTGCAAACTCAACGCCTGCGTTCTGGAACGTGATTTGCGAGCCGGAACAGAGTTGGATCGCGATCGCCTTGGTGCCAGGGCAAGCTCTGACTCCATGCATCCTTTGGTTCTGGGGCTTTGAGGTCAGCACTCGGATCCCTTCCGTTTCTTCCTTCTCTTTTCCCTCTGCTCCACCTTCTTTTCCGTCTTCTCTGTGCGGGCCTGCAGGCAAATGCAGGCATGGCTTCGCAAGGCACCCTTAAGGTGGGACGGCCGCACCCGCGAAGCCCAGCCTGGAGGGCCTGGAGGGCCTGTCCTGGCTTCGACTTCGCCTTGGGCCTTCGCTGGATGACCTGAGCCAAGCGCCTAAGCGCCTAAGCTCCAAGACGCCCGCGGCGCCACGAGCATGGCCTCTCTCCCGACGTTGGGGATGAGGTGCGGGCCCTGCTCAGACAGGCACACGAAGTCACTAGCCAAGCTTCTTGGTGTCTCTACGGCATCTACGGCCCGTACTCCGTTCGGCCTGGCCTGAATGTGGTGCGTGGTGCCGCCGGAGCGGGCCTCCTGCACCCCGCCACTCACGGCCCCCCTCCTCCTGTCCGCTGCCTTTTCCCCGCTTCCCCTCTGTCCTAGTTCCTTAGAACCCTACTTTCACGAATAAGCCCGAAACCCCGTACCACGCAGCCATACGACGAGTCTGATCTGATTCGGGTTCGCCTCCTTGCCAACCTGCCCCGACTTGTCGATGGTAGGTAGACTTGCTGTGGAGGTGGCCTGTGGACCTCGGTAAGAGCATTCGGTTCTTCAGAATTGACCCGTTTCGTGGAACGAGCTTCAGAGTCTACGACCACATTAAGTACCGTTATCCTCCAGATAATATGCGCTGGAACTGTCGGCAACTGTGACCGCAGTCAGAACAAGCCTCAGGCCTGCAGGGAAAGACGTCACGGACTTGCCGCCGAGGTTTTCCAGGAGAACGCGGAAAAGGTGCCTGGAAGCAACACAAGCTCAGAATCACGGACTGATACTTTCTGAAAAAAGGCTCTCACCGCCTGAAGCTCGTCTCCCAATCTACCCTCACCGGGGCTCTCCCAAGCTGCCAAGCTGCTCTTTCTGCTGTGGTGCCATATCGGAGAACTGCCACTCAGCGTCTGGATCATACCTCACACTAGAGAGCTTCACCCGAAACCGAAACAAAATAAGCACACACCCTCAGTCACCGATGCGAGTTACACAGTCCGACGTTGGAGCGATGTCATCTGTAAGGGGCCGACGATGCATATTGTGCGAACTCCTGCCGCACCTGATTGCAAGCATGCCAAAGCCGAAGACGAAGGACGCTAGCTAACGAGGCAATGTGCATGCTTGCGAGCTGACACAGCATGAACTGCCGAACCACTTCACATGAGGGCTTGCACGTCGTGGGCTAAGCATATGCATGGTCTAACGTCGAGGGAAATCTTTTCGCAACATGTTCGCATGTAGTATTGCATGGTGAAAGCTGACATCACGTCTTGCAAGCTGTTGCAATCTTCAGGCGAATCTAGGCTGCTGGCCTGCTGCAGATCCTTCGCATCCCTGAAGACCTCTTGAGCCATGAACGAGACACTTTTGTTGTTCTTGTGGAGCCACCAGCCCCGATACTATGTTTGCACACGGTCCTGAACAACCATAATTCCACAACATACGCTTTTACTGTGCATCGGGCTTCTGATCTACGTAGGGACAGCCATCTCCTGTGATTGAACCATTCAGGGACTGTCGTATGTTCACCCTTGTGCTCTGGGAACCTTCGTCTGACCTCCGCGTAGCTGCCACCCAACCCTCACTCAAGCGATAGGCTGCGACATTTGGACACTGATCCGACGTCACCGTCTCCTCTGTTAACGCAAAACGCCGGAACCCCTAATTGCATGCGATCACCACGCGGAGAAACCAGAATTCTCAGAAATTCGTGTCATTACAGCCTTGTACTGTCCTCCATGTAGCCGTGCAGTCCCACAAGCCCCGCACGGTAAATCTTTGAATCCTACATGAAATGTCGGTTTGACTCCTAGTTTCCTATTGAACCCCTGCATGGTCACCGAAGCCGGTGTCAGCACCGCTATACCATAAGCCCACGTCTCGCCAGACAGTTTCCGGCCTTCCGCAATCTGCGTGTCTCCTGGCGCACGCTTGAAATGGTAAGGGCTTCTGCCTTGAATAGCCAAGGCCCTCCAAACTGCAAACCCCGCCCGACAACGTGCCCACAGCTCCTCGTCATACCCAGCCTGCATGGCTTGGAGCAAACGTCATCAACTTGAGCTTCAAAGACGTAAGGTTTTGTCAACAGGCATGCGTGGCCGAGCACATGACACTGAGGTCCCCACCTTGAAAGCCGTAACGAGGAAGGAAAAGCAGGTCATGGCGGAGGCTCAAAATCCCAACTCACCTTCGCATACGTACAGGTCGACCTGAAAAGGGAAGCAGCTCCCCTTTCGATTTCTGGGCAGGCATAGTCCTAGCCAAAGGCTCAGCAGCCGCACCAGACTATGAACACCAGGCCGGCAGGGGGTATATGAGGGCCCGACAAGACGAGTATCGAAGTCTGAGGTGCATCCTACTTCCTACCAGGCTTGTGAAGGTGTTGTCCGTAGTTTTGCAGCTGATGTCAACAAGAATCGCACCATGACAGGCCGCGGATGAAGAACAAAGCTGTGGTGCTTGAAGCCGCTTTGGATTTCAACCAAGCCAATCAAGCACATCCCGCAAACGACTTGTCTCATTTCCTCTGCGGTTCAACATCATCAAAATCCGCCTGTGGGGCTGTCGACAATGCCTTTTGCTTGTCACATAGCCCACGGTCAGGCTGCGGATAGTGGCTTCTGACACTGGCAACTGTATCCTGCCAAATACGAAGATTGCGATCCACAGTGCACTGCCGGTGTTGCAGGACCGTCGGCATATCAAATTCTGCATGTAGTCACAGCCAGGTGTTCTTGAACACCACCCCTGTGCTGCGACCAGAGAGGAAACTGCCTTTCAAAAGTTGGCTCTTCCCTGGGCCAACAACAATGTAACGCATGCGAGGACTCACGAGTCTAATGCTGCAGGCTGCCGTCAACCGAAAGTCCCACAGCACCGCCGCCAAGCCGATCAGGATGAAGGTCAACATCAAAGCAGCCATGAACCGATGCTGGTGTTTGAGATGTGTCGCCTGTAGAGTCCACACTGTCCTTGGTGGCAAGCAAGCCCACAAACACCAGGCGAGACCCCAGGTAATGTAGACTTTGCACACAACTAGCACCGCTGAACGCCCAGCAGTGTCCGCTGGTGTAGGCTTGTTGCTTGCCGTGATGCTGGGGGGCGAAACAGGGGGTCACTGACGGAGGTGGTGGTAATGAGGATGATGACGGCTAGGGTGACGAAGAGGGTACCATGGTAACGGCGGTGACGATTCCGGCGATGGTGACATTTTCTCGGTAATGACAATGACCACGACGGCGGCAATTACAGCTCGACCTGGTGATGCCGAACTTCTTTGATGATGATGATGATGATCATGATGATGACGGTGATGGTGATGATGATGATGGTGATGATGATGATGATGAGGGTGATAGTGATGGTTCGGTTGTGATGACGGTGATAACGGTAATGACGAGGGTGAGGGCGATGATGAGGAGTCGCAGGAGGACTACAACTTGAAACACACCGAAGGTCTGAGCGATGGCACATAACAGCTCCATGACCATAAAGATGATAAGGTATGTTCGGCATCGTGACCATGAGCACCAGAAAAACTTGCAGCATGTCATCGCGCCTGCTAGCCACTCTATGTATCTGACTGTGCATTGCCACCAGGGAAATGGACAATGCTGCAGCACAATCTGAACCACAGACATATTCTGGGCGAATACCGCCCGCATTCTAAGGTTCATGCAGGCTTCGAGAACAGCTGCGCCGCTGCGAACATGTGCAGCAAAAGCTGTGGCAGAAGCTGGTGCCACATCTCTGGTTTTCCTGGAATGCAGGGCCCAGCCTGCGTGCCGAACACCAACAGGGGGAGGACGTTTAGGGTTTAGGGCATTCTGCTCCTTCTTGCACTACTAAGACCTTACTAGGACGAGCTCATGTAAGGTTTTGGGAGTTTTGGCTCTGAAATCGCAGCTGAATCGGATAAGAGGGCCGCAGAGCTTCGACCCGGCCTAGCAACCCTGCCTTTGCATTCAGAGCTGTGGGATGTATGCCTGCTTATCAGAGGTGTGTGCGGGAAGGTGTTGCCCGAAAACCTGAAAACAGATCCAGCCACGCTCCAGGCGAAAAGTTTGTTATTCGACACTGAAGCCTTTGCTGTCGAATCTGCCAAGGAACAAGGTAGGTCCCGGCTCCGACCTTCCATCGAGTCCGAGGGGAAGCCAATCTCGCCCAGGAGATCGGTGCAGACCGGACAGCTCCTCAGTCTCCAATGTTGGACGGAAGCAAAGGAAGTCCGCATCCCAAAGCCTTATCCCTGATGACCCGGGCTAGACTCTGAGAAATGTGAGGTCCACAGATGCAAGAGTCCTGTGTATCAACCAGAGACTGCGACTCCAGAAACTAGAAGAAACTACGCGACTGACGGCTTGGACAGCCTTCTCACATGCATCTTTGCAAACTTCTGAAAACCGACAGCCTTCGCTGAAAGAGCCCAGGTACATGGACTGCCACAGAACATCGCGGCCCGACATCATCTCAAGGCAAACGTCGGCGAGCTCCTTGCGCACCACGTAGTTGAATTGCTCAACTGCTCGATCGATCCCCACACAGTCTTCGGGGTCTGCATACCACCCCGCCAGGTTTCCCAAGATCAGCTGTCGGTCGCAGAAGATGGGAACATTGCTCCGAGGTTTTGTACGATGCACCATAGTGCCACTCCAAAGAAGGACTCCAAACTCCACGCCGAACAAAACTGCAGGCACCGTGCAGCAGTAGCAACTAGCCTGATGAGCATCGAAAGTTTGCAGCTGCTTTGGCAAGTCCAGGCCAAGACATATCTCCACTGGCAGGAGCTGGGTCGTGCGGCTGCACCGATTCCGGAGAAAAGTGGCGAGCTCAAACATGCACCTTATCTGTTCTCGTGCCTGTTTTCTCTGGTTCTTATCCAGCAATCCCAGAATCCGGAAGGATAATTAAGAGTACATGAGCCGAGAGGTTTCCTTTTACCAGCATGTTTCGGCATAGTACATATTACAGACCACTCAGTACTCGAATATCGAACGACATGCCAGGACATTTGTTGAAACTTGAACCCTTCTTCTTAGAAGCAGCTGGGAACCCACGAGCATCGGTACTGCGGACTGCCGGTCACAATTTCGTTCTGCCCAAAATGATAACGTGCTACTCCGATAGGAACCGGAGGCGCTCGGAACTTGGTAGTCCTTACTTCCTATACTTGTATTTATGGTGATCATGTCTCGCTGGCCACGACCCTTCTCTCATCGCAGGAGAATCGCGCAACCCAGATAACCCGATTCCTCAAAGCACATGCCCCATGCCATTTTTTTATTAGGCCTTAGGGTTCGGCAGCCAAGACGCCGGAGTCGGCCAAAGTTGCCTGCGGCTTTCTCCTCCTGAGATGCAGTCGGTCTCTCGCGCCACACCAAAGCCGCGGAGAAGGATTGGTAGACGAAAACACATGCCCACAACAAGGAAGACTCAATTGACAAACAACCATGACACAGAGGTAAATGGGGGTGAGAGAGTTGCACTGATAACGACATCCTAAGCCCGCTCGTCTACTCACAGTTGGCTGCAGAGGCAAATGGCACGACCAACGATCACACTGCAATGAGCTGTGGATCAATGTTCTTCGAAGGCAAAACACGAATTAAGCCCGTTACCATCTCTGCGATGACCAAAGCAGATATGTAAGCAAAGCGGAACCTTTCTCAAGCCCTGTGCCCGAGCGACAAGGAGGTCTCGCACCAGCTTGCCGTAGCCGGAGTCGCTCGTGGCGAACAGCGCCGCCGAGCGGTTGTTCAGCATCAGCACGAAGAAGCTGCCTGAAAGCTCAACCCTGCACCCAAGCCCTGAACCCCAAACCGCTAAACCCTCTTAATCTCTCGATGCGAGAAACCCCTTTAAAACTTCAAAGCCTGGCAAGCTAAACCCGGGACCCCTAAACCCGGTTTAAGCCCTTAGCACCAGATCCTTCCAAACTTGTTCAACGGCTCTGCTTGCTCTGCCCACGGCCTTGTGACACAACCGACACTCAAGCATAAGCCATAAACCCTGAACCCCAAACTGCAAAACTCCCGAAACCCCAAGACTCCACAAAACACTGCCAAAATGTTGGATGATCCATGCTAATCGTTCTTGAAACCTCCGTCATCTCTTCAGCACCCTGTATAACCATTTCAGTCCAAAGATCGGAGGAAAATTCTATGACCATATAGCCCCATTCATACCTGAATAAAAACGTTGAACCCTGTGACTCTCTATGAAACCCCTAAGGATCCTTCTGTAAACCCTACAGACTTTAAATGTCCGGTATCCGACGGGAACAACGGGTAATGTATACAGAGGATAAAGTACCTCAAGCACGGAGACAAGCTCCACACCCAAGCCCGAGGGTTGGCCTATCTGCCAAGACCACGCTTGCGACAAATTCCTCCAGTCATCCAGAAAGTCGCAGTCCTTGGTATTGGTCTGCGGTCTCGCGGTTTATGCTTCAGAGTTTAGGGTGGTCTTCCGGTACATTTGGACTGAGGCTTAGGACCTATAGAGTTTTAAATCTCAGGCTCTAGGGCTGGGCTATGGGTTTAGGCTTTGTCCGGTATTCATCGTGACAGTCTTTCCAGGAGTGCTCAGGCTGTTGCTGTTGACAATTCTGACGGCAGTTAGCCACCGACAAACAAGCCGAAATCAGAGGACCGAGCCTGTGGGGCATTGTGATGCAAACTGCAAAACCTGAACCGTCACAAAATTTGTTGATGAGCAGCGCTAATACGCTAGTACAACACAGTGAAAGCAGGGGCCATCGACTCGTCTCTTCTATAGGATCTTGGTATCTGTCAAGGAGCCAGCTTTAACTTATCATGTCATGTATTGTGCAGCTTGCGCTTTGTTAGGAGCTCCTATAGGGAGCTGGGATGCGCAGCTTTGTGTTTCACCTCGGCCCCTATGGCTCGAACCAAGGGGGCCCCTTTGAGCCGCTAACGCAAGCGGGATCCAAAAGAGTGTGAGCCATGAAACTATAGACGATTCTTCTTTCTGCCGCTGAATTGGTAGCGGAGCTCTAAGGAGCTATCGCCGGTTCGGTCAGGGACCGAGAGCCCAAAGAGCTACCTTAGGGAGCCATGCTGGGGAGTGCGAAGGCAAGTGAGCTTGCCGATGGAAAGAACTTCGTTCCTTCGTGGAACGGGAAGCCAGAAAGCTTCAGCCACTTTGTGACGGAGATCAGGTGGGCGCTGAACAGCACCAAGAAGGATGAACGCGCCTTGTTGGCATCGAGGATTGTGAGGCGAGCCTTGCAGAGCGAGCACCCGACCTTGGTGGCCCTGCTCTACAAGCTCGACCCGGAGGACTTCAACACGGAAGACGGCGTCGACAAGCTGGTGAAGTTCCTCGAGGCAAGCCCGATGAACAGGCAGCCGCTGCCCGACGCGGGCAACAAGATCGGCGGCTACTACAGGCGCCTTCACAAGAAGTCCCACGAGACGATCCCCGCCTTCCTTGTGAGGGAGGACAGGGTCCACGATGAAATGCTCAAGGCACTTCAGAGGCTCCTTAGGGAGCGAGAGCTTACCTTTGACGACTACGAGGTGGACCTGGCTGAGCTGAAGTCCTTTTGTGGTTTCCAGGAGGGAACCTCCCTTTACTTTGGCCCTGTTGAGGGCACGGACGCCAACGAGGAGGAGGACCCGGACACTGAGACGGAGAACCGCACTCAAACCCCAGAAGGCTCTACGGGAAGGCCTTTCTCACGCTCCTCAATGGGGCGACGCAGCAGCTCTCGAGAGAGCCGCGCGAGCAGCAAGTCGTCCTCTAAGGAGGACAAGAACAAGACGACGAAGAGGCCGAAAGGAAAGGACTTGCTGCAGAGGCTCATGGAGAAAGGGCTCATGCCCTTGGCCGCCTTGGACGTGATCCGCGGATGGATGATCCTGGAGATGAGCACCTCGTCTGAGGACGAGCGGCGGATCATCAAGGCCGCCACCCGGAACAAGCTCGGGTACCATGAGATCAAGCAAGCCCTCCTCTCCATGTACGAGGACAAGGGCGCTCAAGGGAGCCGCTCTTACCCCGGACATGGTGGACGCTCAGCCTATTGGGCTGAGGAGCTGGACCCGGACGCCTGGTACGACGAAGACGGCTCTGTCTTCTACCAGGACACGGAGGGCACCTGGTGGAGCGAGGAACAGTGGTCCTACTACACGGGCCAGGACGGCGAATGGGTCCAGGAAGAGGCACCTGAGGGGCCTGACGAAGAGCCAGACACGGCTCTGGCGCAGCTCCAGGAAGAGCAAGAGGAGATAGAAAAGGAGCGACAAGAGATCGAGGCCATGCTTGCGGAGAACGACCGGAACCTCCAAGATGCCCGCCGTGCTGTGGCCGCGGCCGTAAAGGATCGAGGCTGGGGCGGTGGTGTGGCACAGCGGCCATACAAGCCGACCTCGACCTACATGACCAAGGGCCTTGGCAAGCACGGCTCGCCTAAGGGCAGCCAGAAAGGAAAGGTGAACTACCACGAAGAGGCCCACTTCGCGAAGGGCCCTGGCAAGGGCAAAGGAAAGTGGGAGTGTCCCGTCGTGGGGCAAGGGTGGCAAAGGAGGAAAAGGAAAGGGCAAGAAGGCCGGCAGCAACAACAACTACCACCTGCTGACCATCGACGAGCACGACTACTGCCTCGCTGCCTCTGAGGGGGCTAGCCCGGTAGGTGCTTCCGAGTCCTTAGTGGACACCGGGGCCACGGCCTCGGCAGGAGGCCAGGAAGCAGTAGAGAAACTGTGCGCTGCAATCGCAGCGGCACGGCCAGACGTGAAGTTCGAAGTGAGCGAGGCAGTGCGGCCATACTTTCGCTATGGTTCCGGGGCCTGGGGTCAAGCGCTTTACCAGGTCAACATGTCGGATGGCAAGGTGAAGGTTTCGGTCTTTGCCCTTCCTAGCAAAGGTGTTCCCGTACTTCTAGGTATGAAGGAGCTTGCCTACCTCAATGCATTCCTGGGGTGTGCTACTGGAAGGTGTCTGGTAGGAGGAAAGAAGGTCATTCTAAGGAAGACCTCCAAGGGCCATTTGGTGATGGACTTTGTCGAGCATATTTTCCTTAAGGGAAATAAACCTACCACTGAGACTACCTCAGCAATTTTGAGATCGCAAAGTCCGATGCCAAAGAAGGTTACTTGGAAATGGGTTCCTAAGACTACTAGAGTGAAGAAGAACGTGCAGTTTGGAACCAACGTGATGTTTCACTATCTGTTGGAGTTTGATGAGGGGAACAATTGTGAGTGCTGCTTGTCAGTCGAGCAGAGTGAGGGAGAGCCAGTCAATGAAGACCAGTCGTTTGCAGAGCACATGCAGTTGAACGATGGTGATCTGGAGTTTCTGTGGCCCGGCTCTACATCTGCCCAGATGAGTTCGAAGCGTAGGGAACGCGAGAAGACCTCTGGCAGGCGTGGCGACCATGGAGGGCGCAGCTGAGCGACGAGATGAAGAAGGAGATCGCTCAGGCGGTCCGGGCCGCGGTCGCCGAGACGGTGGCCGGGACAGTGGCCGAAGCCATGGCGGCAGCGCCGAAGGCAAAGGCCAAGCGCAAGCCGAAAGGGCCACCGGCCGAGAAGGACGAGACCCGGGCCATGGGAGTCGACCAACGCGACCCGAGGGCAAGACCCCAGACCTGGCCTTGCATGGGCGAGCACGCGGGGCAGAACCACGGCAACCGGTTCGGAGTTTGGACCGAGTGCGCTCGGTGCGGGCTTCGCCTTCGGTACGTGCCCATGAAGGACGCGCCAGCTCAGGCGACGCATGTGGACCTGCCACAAAACGTCACCGAAGCGCTGGAGCGGTTGAGGACAGGCGGTTGGACCGCCGAGACGCTCGAGAAGAAGCAGGTCAAGAGCATGATCCTGATCGTCGCCAAGGAGAAGGCCATGCTGGGTCCAAAGGCGTCCCCGAAATTTGGACCGCCAGGACGGACCAAGCCGGTCCAAAAGAGGGCAGAAGCCGAAGCAGGCCAGGAGATGAGCCCGGACGAGGAGGACGACGGCTTCCAGAAGGTGGAGGAGATCGCGGACGACGAGGACCAGGTGCCGAGCACGAACCCCAAGCTTCCGCCTCCTCGAGGGAGCCGCCCGAAGGCAGCAGCAGCACCGGCCAAGGCAAGCAGCCCGTAAAGGCTGAGGCTTCTGAGGAAGCCGGCGTCAAGGAAGAAGCTTTGGCTTCTGAGGAAGCTGTGGAGCCGGAGGGGCCTTGGCAGGAGGAGAACATCCATGGCCTGGCTTCTGAGGTCAAGGAAAGGCTGCTAGAGGCGGCCGGCGAGATGGACGTGGCAGCCATCTTGACGGCGCTCAGACCGCTGAAGATCTGGGAGATCACTGACAAGCAGGAGTCGAGCCTGAGGCGCTGCTGTGAATCTCGCAAGCTGGACGTGAAGAAGATGAGTTGGTCTGACGGGTACGACCTGACCAAGAGCGACCATGTGAAGAAGATGGTCGCCGAGGCTAAAGTGGACCCTCCTTGGAGGATCTGGGCTTCCCTCACGAGTTCTTACCAGGCCGGCATGAAGTTTGCCGAGGCGCCCAGGAGAAGGAGCACCGGAGAAAGAAGAAGTACCGGGCCAAGAAGCAGATGCAAGGCTTCATCGAGTTGCTCAAGGCCCTCATGGACAATGAGGTGACCCCGCACTTCTACTTGGAGTGGCCTAAAGAGGCATCTGACTGCTGGGGCCTCGAGGAGGTCCAACAGTTGAAGAGCAACGTGCCGAAGCACTACAAGAAGAAGCTGTATGAAACCCAGATGGATGGGTGCATGTTCGGTCTCCAGGACTATGAGGGGAGACCCCTGCGGAAGACCTGGTGGTTCCTGCACACAGACGAGGCCTTCCACAAGCGCTTCAATCTGTGGAGCGACGGGAAGCACAGCCACGCAGGCGAAAGCGTGTGGACGGAGGGCACCCGGGAGATCCTCGAGACAGCCGGGTACCCAGGGCCATTCGGGCTGCAGCTGGCCACCCACTGGACCAGGCAATGGCAGGCCGAGAAGATGGCTGACAGCCAGAGGCTGCAAGATGTCTACATGATGGCGCAGGAGATGGCCACCGACGAGGAGTTCAAGGAGAAGACTTCTCAGGAGGTCCCCGTGCCAAAGGAGACCCTTGAGAGGGCACAGAAGTTGCTGCACCGCCTCCACAAGGCAGCCGGGCACCCACCGAATAGAGGCCTGGCAAGGATATGCAGGGACCGTGGCATGCCGAACTGGGTGGTCGAAGAGGCCAAGAACCTGACGTGCCAAGCCTGCATCGACGCCAAGCGAGGTGAGCAACTAGTGCTCCCAGTTTCTGTCGGGACCAAGCATTAGTCGTGGCAGTTCGTGGGCATCGACGTCTTCGAGCTTCCGTTCTTTGAGCTGAAGGTCAAGGCACGGTACCTCCTGATGATCGACCTCACGACCAGATTCCAGGCAGTGGAGGTCCTCTGGAA